TTTGTAAAACTTATTTTATAAAAAACAAAAAGAATATGAATTTATTTTATACATTTCTTTATCTTTCATACAATAAGTTTTACAAATTTCAAATTATAATATTTTTTAAGTTAATAAGTTCTCAACATAAATTTAATATTTTTTTTTTAGAATTTAGCAAGCTGCATTAATTAAAAATTTCGTAATATAAAATTATTTAAAATAACAAAGATCATTTTCTTATGATCATTTAAAGAAAAAAACTATTGATACTGCATAATTCTCTTTATATAAAATAACTTTCATAAAAATATTTTTTTCATAAAAAATATTTGACTGTATTTAGATAAAATAAATACTTTGCATATGAAACAGATTAATATCTTTATTATATTTATAATTGAATATAATTATTTTATTTAAAATTATCAAATCTATCGAGAATTATCTATCTATTATCAAATAAAATTTATTTATCTTTAATTAAGATAAAGATAAATTAAAGTGAAATAAGAAAGAAATTATTCAAATTAAAGTTATTATTTGAAATTATATTCAAATAAAATATCCACTTAAAATATATACTTGTATATCTATAAAAGAAACTACAAAATACCTTGATAGCCAAAAATTAACAAAATATTTTAATATTTTATAAATTTTGATGAACCATATTGATGAAATAACCAAGAATTTCGTCCCTGGAACAAATTTAGTGTGTGTGTGTGATGTGTGTGCGTGGTGTGTGTGCGCGCGCGCGCGCTTCGATATGCATAACTTTTGTTTATAATCCAGTATTTGATAAGAAATCTAATTTCTTCGGATATTCAAGTATCTCAAATAATTCTCACTAAACTTTTTTGAAAATAAAATCTTACATGATAAAAATTTTTTTTAATTTTTTTAATTTAATTTTCCAAAATGACAAAATCATTTTCAATTTTTTTTTTATAGATAAAATTAAAAAAAATGTATAAACCTGAAAGTACTCGTCTGTAGAGACACCAAACCATTCTGGAGAATCCAGGAACTGATGTGGGAAGACAATGTGCAATGCTCTTCCATTTTGCGAAACTACTAACCTAAAGGAATATATTAAAAGAAACTTATTTAAAAAATTTAGATTTTTACTTATTATAAATAAAGATTTTTATTTATCTTTCATTTTTAAATTAAGAATATTATTTATTAAAATTTATATTGTAATTTATATCACTTATTATGCTTCCTCAAACTTTAATATTTTTTTATTTTTACTATTTTTTATTTAATTTAAAAAATATTTATTTTAATGTAAAACAATATCAATTTTATTTATAAAATTTTTGAATATATAATATATATTATAAATTTTTTAAATTAATTAAAAAAATTTATTATTAATTAAATTAATTTGTTACTGTGTATATAAAACATTCTAAACATTCATATTTTATTTTTTAAAAAACAAGAATAAAGTTTGTTTAAATTATTTATATTATTTATATAAATATTTGTATAAGCTTACTTCAGTAATAATTTTAAAAAATAATATAATTATAATTTAAATAAACTTAATATAAAATATAAAGATAGAAATAGTTATTTATAATATGAACTTACTTTCCAGAAAGTACTAAAGATAAAGAATCAACTTTGGTCACTTTTTCTTGGGCATAAACTTCTTGATATTTTAATTGTCGAATAATCTTCATACAATTTAATACTTTTCTGAATTGGTGACGTGATACTCTTAATGGCTGAAATACTGCGATATATACCTGTGTCAAAAAAATAAAATATGAAATTTATATTAATTTTATTATTAATTGCAAAAGTATAATATAACAAATGAAAAAATAAACTTATTTTATAAACAAATATTTTATGTATTATTTTATAATTTTTTTAATCAAATATTAAATTAAAATAATATATAATAATATATAATATATAATATATAAAATATATAATATATAATCAAATTGTTTTTATTATATTTTTGATAAATCAAATGATAAGTTAAATATTAATTTAAAAAATATATATAATAATATTTAATTGAATATATATATTAAATTAATATTAATATTAAATTATAATTATTTCAAAAGTATTTTATTATATCATATTATATACATAAATTTATTATAACAAAATAATATTGCTTAAATATATAAGTTAAATATATAAAAATGCAAAAAGAAAAAATATTATTGCTTCTTAATCTAATACAAATATTATAGCCAAACATACATATACATATAAGCAATTCACTACAATAAAGATTCTAATATATATATATATATATATCTATGATAACTAAAACAAAAATATCACATTACTTAAAAAAAATAATATATATTGTAAAAAAAAATAGAAAAACAAAAGTATGATTAATATTTTTCTAGATTAAATATGTAAAAATAAGCAAATACTTTACTTAAATAATATTTACAAGAATATATTTCTATTATACAATATTAATTATATTAATTCATATAATTTTTGGAAATAATTGTTCATAATAGAAAACAATGGAAGCTTATATTTTTATATTTGATAATAAGATATAATTATTTTTATGTTTGTTTTAAATATTTATTAAATTTTTATTTATTAAATTTCTTAAATATATGTGTATTTTATTTGCATATTTAATATTTTTATAATAAGTTCAAATATTACATTTCAAATGCATTATACATGTGTGCGCATGCACATACGCATAGATGTACAAAGAATAAAAGGATTCTATAATTAAATTAAATTATTAATTTTTTTAATTTTCTTAGCTTACCTCTTCAATTTCCCTTGAAAACTTGATAGGCCTGAGCTTATAAAGAAGCGTGCATACATGAACGAAGTTGATGGCAACAAACAGAGCATTCCAGAGAGCAGCATCCAGCCAACAAGCTATTGTCCAGCCCCACAAAGCAAGAAAGGCACAGCCCACGAGTAGAGTACACCTTAAATAAAGTACGCCATGTATGCCACTTGGTGCAAGGTGTGATAATAGAAAGAAGGCATTTGCTAGTTGAAAATAGATGTGGTTCACAGAAATTCCTTGATATGGTTGGCAGGTAAGAACTCCGTACAGAAAAGTTGGAGGCACTATTGGCGAATGAGGAGAACTAGATCCTTGATTGATCACTGATAGACCAGTAGCTGTGAAGTATTTTTTTTCAAATATTTAATAAAATTAATTAAATTTAAATAATAAAATAATTTAATAATATTTTTAAAAATAAAATGTTAAATATATTATCTTTTATATTTAAAATTATATCAAAAAATTTATAATAAAGATATTTTATTACATAAAGATAATTTATTATATATTTATAAAAATATAAATATGACTATGATATTATTGCAATTATATATAATATGTTTTATATAATATAATCATAATACATACTTGCTTTATTATCAGTAGTCACATTCCTACATTCGTCATCTTCATGGTGTGTTGAAAGTGATAGTGATATATCTGATGTAACAGTATTATGAGGGACATTAAATGTAGCTGCATTTGTTAAACTGCCATTAATACCAAAAGAAGTCCAACAAAGAAATATGCAAAATAAAATAAAAGCATGCCAGCCTTCTCGGCTTCCTATAGGATCAAAACAGATCCACATCCCCGCATCACCATCAAGATAAATCAATTTCGTCTTATTCTGTAATATCAAAATAATTCAAATATTCAATTTAATTAAAATTCATATGATTTTATGAATTTATTATATGAATATAATTTAAATTAATAATTATAATTCATACTTATTCATAAGAGATGTTAAATTGAATATTATATGCCATTTGTAAATATCCTGTCATTGTTCACATTTCTATTCTCAGCTAAAATTAAAGCTTGAAGACAAATACCATCTTGTGGACATTGAAATAAAGAAAGGTATTTGCATTACCAATAGCTGTAGGAAGACTATAAAAACATCTGTAATATAAATATGTATTATACATATATTAAACAATTATTTTATATTATTAATTATATATTAATTATTATATTAAAACAGAATTAAAAAATATTGAAAAAAATTAATATGTTCAATCCTGGTAATAGCAATAAGCCAATTAAAAATCAAATTAAAAAAAAAAAAATATGAATTTTGCTATTATTTATAGTAATGAAATTGGAAAAATTTATTTATTAATATTTCTTATATATTTATAAAAAAAATATTAATTTCAAATAAATATATTTTATACTGATTTTCATATGCAAGTAATCATAGATATTGACGTTATAAAGTATTGTACCAAATCAATAAATAACTTACTCATGGAAAATTTTAAAAGATGAAAACGTACGCAAGGCATACAGATAAAAAAGTAAATTATAATGTCAAGTAATTTGATAATTAGAATAAACCAAAATCGTATACGAAACAAACTTGCTTATCTAATGAACGTCAAACTAGCAGAAAGACGTTACTTTAGCAAGGACGAGTAAAGACGACGGTAGAGAACTGGGAAACAGAAGGGGGATAAAATAGGCCATGAGATTCCTAAGTTAAGGTTTGTTCAAAAATTTACTAACATGAACATCAATTACAATAAATTACTAGTACATAAAAAAATAACCATAAATTAAAATATAATAAGAAATATATATATATACATAAATAAAATACAATAAATTTTTATATTTTAAATTTAAATTTATAGTTTAGAAATATCAATATTTTTTCTTTTTTATAATTAAATTATATTATTTTCTAGAAATTAAAATTTTTGACATTTGAAATAAGAATTATAATTAAATTAATTACTAATTATTTTATAAAAGAAATAATAATAAAATAGATATTTTATTATAATAAAAATAATTAATTATTATCCTAAAATATTAATTCGATAAAAATTTTAATTTAATTTGATTATATTATATTGAAAAATAAAATTTTAAATATTTTATTTTATTTTATGATTTTATTAAAATAAAAAATTTTATTTTGAAATATTGTATTGTTTCTATATAAAGTCAACATATATACTTGGAAATAGCTTTGAATTACATATCATACATTACTATCAATGAACAGAAATTTAAATCATTAATAGTATCTATATATATTATTTCAAAATTCTTTTTTTTTTTGTTTATAAATATAATGATAAAATGGCAACGGAGAAGGATTTAATTAATGGTATTTATTAAAATTGAAAATATATAAAATATTTATTTTTAATTAAAAAATATTTTATTACATATAATTAATTTATAAACTGCTTTTAATTAATTTTTATTACATATATATAATATTTCTTATTAATATGTTATAAAATTTATATAAATAACTTATATAGTTATATAGTTTTTTTTATATTATTTAATTTGTTTTCTCTACAGCTATGAATGTTATTTATAAATAACATAAAAATTAATAACTAATATTACAATTAATTATTGTATAATTCCTATTATTAAAGAAATGAATTTGATAATAAAAATATATAATAAAAAATGTTATAATAAACATTGTTTTATTTTTTGAAATAGAAAAGCAAGTATTAAAATCAAAAAATACTTATATTTTAGAATTAATTTAATTTCATCTAATTATATTTAATTTCTTTAATTTAAGTAAATTTATTTCTAAATTTATTTCAGCAGTCAGAGAATCACTTAAAGCTGATGGAGATCTAGGTCGTATAAAAGCTGAAATGCGCACAGAAGTTATAAAATTATTAGATAATTCAAATAAAGGAAATAAAACAAAGCTTCCAAAGCCACCTCTAGATATTATATTTTTAAATGAGCTTATCAGAGAATATTTAGATTGGATGGGATATAAGTACAGCTCTACTGTATTTATTTCAGGTATTTAATAATTCTTCATATGCAATATAATATATTACAGAAATTAATTTTTTTACAAAATTATATACTTAAAAATAATCTTTATTTTAGAATGTGACTTATCAAAGCAACCTCTTGATAGGTCTTTGCTTTTGCAAAGTTTAGGACTAAAGGAAAGTGAGAATAGTATAAAATTACCATTGCTGTGTAATATTGTAGAAACATTTAAGAATTTAAAAAGTACATAAATATATGAAATTATATATTGGTATAATATGAATAAAAATTTAAAACTAAGTACTAAACACACATATTGTGAATAAACAAAAAAAATGTTTTCAAACTCAAATTTTATGATTAAATTAAAATTTAGGTGATTTATTTGAATTTTCTTTTTAAAAATTTTATAGAATATGTATAGTTTTATTATATGAAATCATTTCCAATATTTTGTAAAACGAAAACAAGAATGAATTAAAAGAATTTCGTCTTTTTATTTCATGACGTCTTTTACATATTGACATTAGATTATGAAAGTACAATATAATGCTGAGATATTGGAGATCTTAAATATAATTGCTGTTCTCTAAAAGTATTGTATTGAATTCCTTAAAGATATTATCTACTGAATGCTATAATGTACATCAGTTATTGTAATGAATTTACTTACAGCATTTGAAAGTAAGTGTAATTAGAATATAGACAATCATGTAAAGGCCTTAATAATTTTCAAAAATACAAGTTAAATGTCATACTTAGTTACCCATTCCTTATTTTATTAAATTTTTCAATCTTCAAAAATTATTAACTATTAATAATAAGTAATGAATTAGTTCAAATTTAATATGTTCAAATTAATTTTGAACGCTGAATAATATTGTAAATATAGAATAAAACATCTACATCATTTCTTAGATATCAGATAACAATTTTAATTTTATGTATATAATTGTAAATAATTCTGGCAGAGGATCTTACATTAAAAAGCATTCATAAAGAAAAATTACTGTCAGAATTTAAAATATTAAAGACATCTAATGATGTCATTTGTGCTTTGATTTTTTCTTTTTTTTTGTTTGTTTGTTTCTACTTTTTGATTTTTTTGATTTCTTTTTATGCTTTTCTTCATCAGTACTTGTTTCTGATGAATCTGAATATGAATCTGAATCAGAACTACTATCTTTTTTTATAGATTTCTTTTTCTTATGTTTTTTATGTTTCTTCTTTTTTTTCTTATGTGATTCATCAGAACTATCAGAATCAGAAGTTGAAGTATCTGAACTACTAGATGAATCTTCACTACTTGTAGATTTTGATCGTTTTTTAAGAGATTTAATGTCCATTTCTTTTTCCATATCTGGTTCATCAAGTTTAAGTTTCTTAGCAGGCAATGAAATTACTTTGCCATCTTCACCATCTGATTCTGAATCTGAAGCACTATAATCAGGTTCAAAACTAGCTTCATCGAGCATACTACGTTTACGATCGGATACAAGTCTTGGATTCTTTCTTTGTTTTTTTATAGGTTCCGTAACAGGAGGTTCAGGATTTTCATAATTTATTTTAGTTTCATTATTTTCAGGTTTGTCTTTTAAAATAATATTTTCTTTGTGCTTTTGTTTTTTTTCTAAATTTTTATCTTTATCTTTTTTATGTTTTTTTTCTTTTCGTTTCTTATGTTCTTTGGATTTACTTCTACTTCGATGTTCTTTCTTTCTTTTTTTATCTTCTTTTGTTTTTTTATCTCTACGCCTATCATCTTCTTCTTCTCTACTCTTCAAAAGACCTATCTTTGAAATATCATTTCTTTTAAATGTACAAGATGGTGTTCTTCCTCTTCTTTCTTTATCTCTATCTTTTTCTCTATCTTTATCTATTCTTTCTCCTTTAGAATCGTTACGGGTTGATCTAAAATCTCCTCTAGAATCAATTCTTAGATCTCTTTCAGATCTTATATCATGTCGTTCATTTCTAAAATCATTTCTTTCTTTTGAACGATCACCTCGATCTTTATTATCTCGTTTTCTATCATCAAGAAATACTTTACGTTCGTTTCCTGGTATAGACAAAGATGAATCAACTCGTCTATCTAATAATGGAGAAATTCTTTTATCTCTCGTATTTCTAGGAGATCGACTTCTAGATTGATTTTCACTCTTTGTTTCACGTCTATCTAAAAAGCTTTTTATAGGACTAATTTTTCTTTCTTTATTTTCATCCACTTTTTCACCTAATCTTTCTTTGGCAGAAAGTCTTGTAGGTGAATAAGTTTCTGGTACAGGTTTGAATTTTGTCCGATCTAATTTAGCTTTTTTTACTGGTTCTGTAATTTCAACATTTCTTTCATTTCTTCCTACATTTATAGTAACGTTCACACTTTTTCTTGGTTCTCTATTAGGTTCAACTTCAAGTACTTTAGGCTCTGGATTCTGATATAGTATTTTTCTACTTTCACTTATTTTTTTAATTTCAATAGGTCTAATAGCATTAATGGCTTTTTGAAAAATAGCATTTTCTGCTCTTTTTAATACTTCTGATGTAACTACTTTTGTAGATTTAGGTTCATCTATTTGTATTTTTTCTATAGGAGATTCACATACATCATCTGTTTTTTCTGTAGTTTCATCTCTTTCCCATTTAGAAAGTTCAGGCATTGGAGCTAAAAATTCATCTTTTTTCGGAGATTTTTCTTCTAATAAAGTACTTTTATCTTCTGTTTCATTTTCTGAAAGTAAAGAATATTTTTCTGTTATTACAGTATTTATTTCTGCATCATCTAATCCACTATAAAGACTATCAATAGGTTTGATTTCAGATTTTAATTCTGGAATTGGCTTAAAATTAGGATTAGGAGGATTTGTTCCAAATTCAGTGTGATCGATTCTTTCTGGACTGGTTTCATGAAATTCTGGGGGCTCTGGATTCATGGCTAAAGATTTATCTTCAAATTCTTCTTTGATTGATTCTTCAATAGCATTTTCAGTAGAAATACAAACTATTCTACTATCGATATTTTCATCTTCATTAACAGGTTTTATTACATCAGTTTTTGTAGGTAATATGATCTCTTGTTTATTTTCTATTATTAATTCTTCATGTTCAGCTGATTTAATACACTCGTCTTTTGCAATTTCTTTTTGTCCTGATTTCTTTTCTTTTTTCTTTTTCTTTTTCTTTTCTTTTTCATCATCTTTTTTCTTTTTCTTTTCTTTAATTTTTTTCTCTTTTTTCTTTTCTTCATTCTTTTCTTCATGATCTTTTTCTTTTTTCTTTGTACGTTCAGGTGATATATCTTTCATATCTATCCTAGATTTCTGTGAATAAGGTGTCGGACTTTTTCTATTCTTTTTTCGTTCCATGGAACGTCTTTCATAACGTTCATGTCGATCTCTATCTTTTTCAGATTCATAATCTCGTTCACGTCTATCTTTTTCACGAGAACGATTTTTATCATCTTGTTTGTGTCGATCTCTTTCTTCTCTATAACTAAAATAATGTTAATGTTATAGATTTTACGGTTTTGATTTTATAATAAAATTAAACTAGTTCGATTACTATTTATAAATATAATTAATTTTTTTTTTATTATGTGAAAATAAATAATATATTAAATAATATAATGTATAGATATATATATTAAAATAATGTATACATATTAAAATAATGTATAGATTATATTTTCATAATATATCAAACAAATAACTAAATGAAATATACATACCGATCTTTATCATAATCTTTTTTGTCTAAATGTCTATCGTCTTCTCGACGATCTCTAGTATGTCTATCATCTCGTTCTTTTTCTTTTTCTCTTCTATCACGATCATCTTTTTCTCGTATTCTATCATCGTGATCTCTAGGTATTCCTTGTCTTTCACGATCTTCGCGATCTCTATTTAAAATTCTTCTATCTCTGTCATCTCTTTCACGTAAACGATCATCTCGTTCACGTCCTCTGAAAAAAAAAACAAGAATTTTTAATTTTTTATATTTTTATTTATTATTTAATAAAAATTTATTATTATCTAAATATTTAAATTAGATTTATACCTGTCTTCTCTCAAAGATAATCTATCTCGATCTTCATTATCATGATCTTTAAGAGAATGCTCACGATCTTCTTGATCTCTTAATAAACGTCGATCACGATCGTCACGTAAAGATCTTTCAGAAAGTTCTACACCTGGTGGTGAAAGATCATAGTAGCCCTCTGTTCCAGGAGGTGCAACATCATCAAATCTTTTGTGAGGCACATCTCGTAAAGGACTACCAAAACGTTGGCTAGATGGTCCAGGATATCTGCTGACAAAAAATTCACAGAAGATATTTATATTTTTATTAAAATTTTCCGAAATTTAAATTATGCATTACATTTAATTTATAAAAAATCAATTCTATATGAATTTTTTAATTTATAAATTATTAAAATTTAAAATGGAACAAAAAAATGTTATACAATTATTTATATCCTATAAATTTAGGTTCATTTTATGAAGTTTACAATTTTTATTCATATTTTTTGACATAAATACATTTTATAAAGTATGTTATTTTGTTTAATTATATATATGTTCATTAATTCTAGAGCAAAAAGTTACAATTCAATATTTCATCTAAGTATTATTTATTTAAAAAAAAAATTGATTTTACCGTTTCTTTTGCTTACTATGAAAGTGCTATAAAAAATTAAAATCTTTATAGTAAAGCTGAAAAGATAAAAGAATAAAATTACCTATTATCAAATTATTGTCTAATATGTCATAAAAACGAAAAATAAATAAATCAACATTTATAACTTTAAATATATTATGAACATAAAAATTGTATAATGACTTTATTCATTGAACCATTATATTGCATATTTTACTCACCAATAGTACCATATACAATATAAATATTGTTATATTGATAAATATATTATACAATATATTTTTAATTTTTGATAATTTCTTAAGAATATTTTATAAGTATAGCACTGAAAATAAATAAAAGGAAATATTTTTTTCTTATGTTACAAATGTTGATTTGGCCCTGAATTCACCTGATTCAGAAACCATGCAGTCTGTCAATCAGCTGGGTAGCTTCCACAATCTCCAAATTGGTCCTTGCTTTTTTCCTTGTTTCTCTCTTCTTCTTTCACTTTTTGGTTATTTGTATATTTCATAACTTAATGTCATTATGTACATACAAATAATATCTTATATGCATGCAAATTACAAAATCAATCATTCAATAATAATAATAATAACTAATTACAAAAAAGGAAATTAATATAAATTTTGTGTTATTTTTATAAAAATATTTCCTTACTTCGCGTATATCATTACATTTTCTTTGCAAATAATATTATTATAACGATCTTAAAAGAAAATATAATTA